CTGGCAGGGCCCAGATTCTGTGCTCAAGCCGAAAATCCAACGCCCCCCAGTCCCCTCCTGCCACAGCTGGACCTGGGGAGGACTTCCCCCAGCTCCACCAGTGGAGAAGTGCTGCTGGTGTGTGAGGGGGGCCCGGAGGACACGTGGCAGAAGAGGGACAGCTGTGGAGCAGGGCTGCAGAGCTGTGTGTGCAGCATCACCCACCCACGCTGCCCTGCTCCCGACTTCCCTGCGATGCTCTTAGCTGGTGAGTGGCTGAACTCTGTGCAAGGGAACACCAGGCAGTGAGGGGTCTCAGCCCACCACCCCCTGGCCCCGTGAGTGCTGCAGGCTGGGCGGGGGAGGCCCTGGACTGAGAAGTATCCAGCTACAGGAGTGCTCACAACAGTCCACAGAACACAGCTCCTCCTCACACCAAAATACCACTGGCAGTGACAAATTATCCCTTCTTATTTTGTGGAAAAGTGTTTAAGAAATTCTGTACAAGGATCGCTACGGCAGCTGGCTCTGGGGGGGACACAAACAGCTTGGAAGCAGCAGCACCACGCTACATGGCTTGCAGGGAAGAAGCCAAGAAGAAAGTTCTCCAACTGAAAGTAGTGGCAGAAGGTGAAATCTGATCACAGTGGACATGAGCTTCAAAACATTTCTACCAATTAACAATGTGATTTCAACTGGTCTCTGATGTCAGCTTCCCCTTCAGCTGCCTGCCGGACAAGCTGGTCTCCCCATGGACCTTGCTGACGGACATATGAAGCATGCAGGAAGCTCAAGGACCTTGTCTGGTGGAGGCGAAGCATAAACTCTCACTTCTTGGCAGCTGAATAAAAGAAGAAATGATTTCCACAAACTCAGTTGGAAGAACAGCCCTCTGACCGCTGGCTGAATCATTTCTCAAAGTGACAGTGGCACAAATCCATGCGGTAAAAGCATTCCTCAGAGAGTCTCCAAAGCTCTCGGCTGTCACGGTGCCCAGGAACAGCACAGGCCAGGTTAGGCACTTGGATGAATTCAAAGTGACTAATACAGAAACAACCTGCATACAGCATGCTCAGCAGAGACCACAGGACTTCAGGCAAAGCATTTCTACGTGCCCTGCCAGCTCCTGCCGCGCAGGTCCCGGGAAGGCAAGAGTTACTCTGCTGTCACTGAGTAACACAGGGTGGAAGGGACCTCTGGAGGAAGATCTCTGCTTAGTTCACAGGTCTGATTTGATCAAACCCTTCATCTTCCCTAAACACCAGGCAGCAGTGTCCACAGCACAGTCCCTTCTGCAGCCTCCTGCACACCAGTGCTGAAGGCCCAGGACACCGGGAGCACCCGGCCATGAGATGCAGGACGGCAGAGCCAACCACCAGCAGGCTGCAGGCACCCGCCTGCCAGCGCCGGATCCCCGGGAGAGCTGACAGGCAGCAGCTGCTGACGCTGGCACTGGGGGCTGTAAAGCCCCTCTGTGAATAACAAGCTGCAATCCTTCCAGCCAAGTTCTCAGATCCCCTGTGAGGGGGAAGAGGAGACAAGAGGAGGGCAGAGAGCCCAGCTCCAGTGCTGCCCAGTAGCTCAGAGATGTGCAAAGAGCTGACAGAGACTGGACTGATGATGGGCAAGTCCCTGAGCACAGAGCTATGGGGTGCTCGCTTCCCTGGCAGAAGCCTCAGTGACAGAGAGGCGTTTCTAACACTTCCCTCTCCCTGTGGAGCAGAAGACCTCTTGCTGGTGGCCTATGAAGGACAGCAGGTGGGCCGTCACCACCAAGCATTCACAGAACTCAGCTCAGTGCCTGGAAAGGCACGGCAGCACTAAGGCAGGATGATCTGCTGGATAAGTAACAGTCCAAGCCAAGTCCTTCCCTGGCGAAGACCCAAGCTGTGAAAGACAAGAGGTGACGGAGAAGAGCGGGGAGGCAGGCAGCTGTGGGCAGAAACACAGCCAAGAGGAGGGATGTGGCCCAATACATTGGCCTCAGGTGCTCAGCTTCCCGCTCAGGCTGGAGGAGAAGCCACCTGGGCCCGAATTCAGCCTTGTTGGTCAGGGTTGTTATTCCCAGCGGAGGCCGGGCGCTCAGCTGGGATGTCTGCGCCGCACGAAGAGGCTCCAGAGACAGCTCCTGGTGCCCTTATATGGGGCTGGGAACAGGGGAAGCTGCAGAGCAGCCTGTCAGACAGCGATACCGCAGGCAGCAGCTCAGAGCCCTCCTCGGGAAACAGCCAAGAAGAGAAACTCCAGTGCAAGACTTCAAGACCTGGCATTAGAGAGCGTGGGAATGAGAAAGGGTTGAAGGATGGGAACAAAAGGTACAAAGCAATTTTTGGCCAGTTAACAGTGATGGAGGGTCCCTGTTCATCCAGCATCATGTCAGGTCAGGGAACTCTCTGCCAGGGCATTTTAAAACACAGAAGCAGACAATATTTCCTCCTCCTCTGCAGCCAACCAGCGGCATTCACAGGTCAGTCTCCAACACTGCAAGTCATGATCTCTGACAGCAGCTCAGACACGCACAGTAACACCACACAGAACCTGAGCCTGCAATCAGCCCCCCAGGGAGAACCTCCATCCTGCTCTACCTGGGCGAGGGGGGAGAACCCCGGCTGTGCCTCGGGACACCCAGCTTCCCTCTCACTCCCTCACAAACCTCCTCTCTCCTCTCTGTGCCGTGGTTTTCCCCTCTGAGCTGGGGATCAGACCTTGACCCCTTTTACAGAGTGCTGAAATCCAGCCAGGTGCTAGGGAGGGGCTGAAATGGAAGGAGCTGGGGCTTCCCAGGGAAGCTCATCCCTTCAGCCAATATCCACAGAGATTAATAGGTCAGACCACTGGTATTTTGAGCTGGTGAGAGAATGAGTGGATTACCGAGGCACTGCTGCAGGGATCTGAAGGCACAGCAGCAAACAGAGCCAGGCCCGTGCCTGGCCCCACGCTGCTCCTCTCCCCGGGCTGCCAGGTTCTGCTTCTGCAGGATCCCAGCACAGACTGATCCTCTCATGGGAGGCCTGTCCCTCCCAGGCAAGGGGGGAAGCACTGACTGCTCCAACACCACGGATCTCCTGGAGCCTGCAGATCCTTCCTGCGGAGAGCAGACCCAGGCACAGGGTCTGTGTTCACATCTGACAGCGTGCCGGGCTGACGCAGCCTGTCTGGAGCAGTTCTGCAGTGCCTCCTGGGGACAGGCAGAGCCTGCGCTCCGGGAGCTTTCACACCTGCCTCACACCTTCTCCCAACATCCCAGCAGAGCTGTCACCCACCACAACTGATCTCCCCTCCTACTGCTTCACCCCCACAAACCAACAGAAACTCTCTATGTTTAAGTGCTGCTGTACGTCCTCTCAACCCTTCTGCTTTCCTGCTTTAATTCAGGCTCAGACATCCCACTGCGCTCTGGGACCTGCAAGATCTATCTAATACATTCAAACACAGCCTGTGTCTTCTCTACTGGCACCTAGAACCTGCTCCTGACACATCCACCAACATCCTGGTGGGCAGGGCACTTTCTGCAATGCTTATTAACAACTCCAGCCCTTCAGCTCTAACCGTCACAGTTCATGTTCTATGCACCTGGGCTACGGGAGAGCAGAGCAGCTCTGGGCGCTGAGGAGGAACCGCTCTTTGGAGGCAAACCCCTACCTTGAGTTCAGAGCTTCTGCTACCAACCAATGGAGGCACCTAGAGACGTCAGGCAGACCTGCAGGCAACAGCCCCATCACACTCCCTCACTCTTATGCAGAAGTAATACCAAAAATGTGATTAAAACTGTAGTCAACTACCAGCTGGTAATGCTCCAAATTGCTTGGCATTTCTGGAGACAGACAAGTGGCTATAACTCTGCCTGCCTCTGAGCTGCTCCAGACAGCCCAGAACAGACTGTCACAACACTGAATCACAGAGAAATCCTGGCACTTTTCAACAAAAGACTGGCTGAAGGGGAGGGGGAACAAAAGCTATCGAACCCAATCCCAGAGGGATGGAGGAAGTGCATCTTCCCACAGTTCCTGGGCCATATGCACATATATGGATATATAGATATATAAAGTTATAAAATTTGATCAAAATAAAACCAGTAAATGTACAGCTTGAAAAAGAGCAATATCACAGTGCATCAACATCATGAGAAAGTCCCATGTTCTTCCCCTGCAGGAGAGCGTGGTCTGCCACCTTCAGAAGAGCGCCCACAGGAAGCGAGTCCTCCGCCCCGCTCAGCTCTCCCCGGGCCAGTCACCGTCCCGTACCCCCGCACAGGACACTGGTATTTCTGCAGTCAGCTCTGCATAGCAGGGGTAGACAGGCAGAAACAGCACGAGAGCAGGCTGCTCCGACCGTGGGTTAGTCACATACTGTCACCAGGCAGCAGAGATCCAGCCGCTCCTCGCCACGCTCCGGTGCCCGGCTCGTATTTACTTAATTACAAAAAAAAAAGTGACCAAGTGAAGTTGCTCAGGGAACGCTGTGACAGTGGGATAAGGGCTGAATCCGGATCACGGGGGACAGGTTGACTCTAAGAATTTTCTGTGCTCTCCTCCTCACTTCATCATCAGAAGAAGAGTTTCCCACCTTGATGGCCCAGAATTTCAGCAGGTTCCAAGTGCTCTGAGCCTGTCGGGATGTACTTCGCACAGGAACGGTATTTGCTTTCTTTCTCTGCGGCGCTTCTCTTGCCTCCGTGACTCTTCTCCTCTTCTGCCCGACGCTCTCTCGATAAGTGCTGTCGTCCTTCCACTCCGTTTTTCCCACCAGAGGTTCCTTATCTGTGATTTTCAAGGTCTTGGACTGTGGTGCTGTGGTGCAGCCCTGTGACGAGCTGCTCGTGACTCGGCCGTTGAGGACTCCCGAGGCTTTGCAAGCGTTGCTCTCCTGCAGCACCCCACCCTTTGGTCCCTTCAGAAGATTCAAAGTGAGGGTGGCAGAATCCGGTGCTTTCTTTATCAAACGCTTGTTGTACCCCTTACCTTCTGTTATCTTAGTGGCCTTGCCTGAAGAAAACTGCCTCTGCAGACTGGAAGCTTTGAGGAGTTTAAGGTCCGAGGGTGAGATGCCAAGACGCCCTCGTGTGTACTTGGACTCCAAACAGGACGCGGTGGTTTTCAGCGGCACCAGAGCTTCCAGAACCACCGACAGTCTCACGGCTGGGTACACATCAGGATACATGCTTGCAGGGAAGCCCACCGCCGCGGCCTTGGACGTGCCGGATCTCGTCTGCTTCAAGGAGGTCAGGAGGATATTAGTGGAATCTCCTTTAGAGACAGGCTGAGCGGAGACTTTTGAATTCAGCGAAACGCTGGTGGGCAAAGCAGCCGCCTTCGGCACGGCCACGGCGCTTCCAGACAGACCCTCAGCGGGCTCGGCACAGCTCTGGGGGGTGCCCTCCTTTGTTTGGCTGGGCGTGTCTGCCGTGCACGAGCTGTACCCGTACACATCCTTACTCCTCAGAATCGTGGGCTGGTAGCCCTCCTCCTTCAGGCCCTGAATGAAGGCCACCAGCTGGGTCTCTGTGTCTGAAAGGTCCTTGGACATCGGGTTGAAGACTCGGAGAGCTTCCTCCAGCACTTTCTGTCCTGCAGAGGAAATTCTCGACCAGGAATGGACAGCTTTTTCTTCCACATTGTTCACTGCAATATTCATGGCATTAGGCAAGCGGACACTTCAAAAAGGTCCAAATTACTGGAAAAACAACCCTTGACACCTCAAAAGGAGAGAGAAGATAGTTAGCTTAGAGCAAATGAAATCATCTTTCATTTTTAAGTGTGGACATGAAACCATTAAGCCCAGGTGTGGCTACTCACAAACACCGGTCAGATTCTGGGCATAACCCAAGTTAGAAGCATCATCAAGAAAATTCCATCACCAATTTATCTCTGAAGTAAAACTAAAACATCTCTCACAGAAATATCCTCAAACCTAAACAAAGATTTCAGGCAATCCCAGACAACCCATCCCAGGATGAAGAGTTCCAGTTTCCCAGTGAAATCCGCAGCTGGTTTCCAGTTTGACACGCCCCTGATCTCACTCTCCCGTGGTAAAGCAGCCCTTCATTGAACCCTCTCCCTGCAAACAATCGAGCCATCTCGACACTAAGCAGCCTGGGCACCTCAAATCTATCCCAGCATCATGTTCAATTTTCCAGCTTCCTAATTGATTCTCCTCAAAACCTGACTCTGAGTCCCTGCCAAAGTGGCATCATCCTCCCGGAGACCCGACAGCAGAGCAGGAGGCTGCTTCCGTTGTGCTTCACTGATGCCGAACGCCGAGGCAAGGCAACACCGTGCCTTGCTGCTCCCTTGTTTGAACAACGGTCTGCAAGTTGTTGTCACAGCAAACTGGTGTTGATCCAGGGGCACTCACTGCCAAGTGAGGAGGAAGCAGGAAATTCAAGCAGGGCGGTGTGAAGGAAACACACATCACCGGGGCCAAGTGTACAATGGGCTGAGGGACAAGACAGGGATCATGCTCAGGGCGCTGCACAGCTACCTGCCCAGGACAAAAGTGATAATTATTGCTTCAAATTACAATAACAGGCACCGAAGAGCAGTCCAGGAGGGACTCTGGGATGCACTCAGGAGAACTCTGATCCTCTCACACTGAACTGGCGACTTCGCCAACTCTGCAGCTGGAGACTGCGCTGAGAAGTTATAAAATCTTTTAGCTTCACTGACACCTCTCAAAATAACGAGGACTCAGTGAAAAATTCTCTTCAGGGAAATGCAGAAGGTGTTGGAGACACTATTGGAGAGGGCAGTGCACGGGCAAGAAAGCTGTGATGGAAAAGATAAGAGCCTGAGCAGACAGAGCAAGGAACTACTCATGTCCAGCGCTGCTCCCAGAACTCCAGCTTGCCCACGACCCGGGAAGGCGGCAGTGCCAGCCCCGGAGCAGCACCCCATGCCGCCGGCAGCTGCACAGGCAGGGGAGAGCCAGGGCCAAAAGCAGCTGCAAAAGGGGAAGCACAGGTCAGCGGCGGGGGAAGGGGGGGTAAGAGCCTCCGCATGACAGACTAATCTCAGTCAAGTGTTCTGCAGACGTCAGGGCAGGAGAGGGATTTGCAGGAGGATAATGCAGTTGCTCTGTGACAGGCGGGGATCTCCCATGGAGGGGAGGCAGGAGGGAAACGCTCCGGCAGAGCCAGGGCTGGCGAGATCTGCTGCTCCCAAAGTGAACGAGCAGCAGCAGCA